AGCAGGCTGGTGTGCAGGCAGAGCCAAGCGGTAACCGAAAGCACAATGTAGTAATGCTACAATATTGTTGCCGAGGAACTCACTGAAATGATGAGGAGCTTTGCCCATGTCTTTAACGGCAACTAACTGAACCACTCTCTGGCCTTGCAAAGTTGACCGGCGCGTGGCCTTGATCAGGCATTCACATGCCTGGACGTTCTCTTTACTCTGCACCCACCGGCGGAGGAGCTCGGCCCGCTCCTCACCAACAGAGATAGAATAACTAGGTGCAGCAGAACATGACAAGATTATGTTATAAGCTTCCACTCCTTCGTAGTCCCATTTGCCAGGGCATGCATACTCGGATAGGTGCTGGCAGTGATCGTGCCATTGTTCATGAGCCGGCCCTTAAAAAACACGATGCAACCCAGCTGTGCGTGGCTACAACCTGTACAGTACATCCTGCAATCCAAGGCACCAGTCTCATGTACTCCTTCTTGTGGGTCTTCGAGTTGACTTCAGGCGGGGAAGCATCCGAAGGGGGAGCAGCCAAAGAGGGAGCAGCCACAGGGGGGGGAGCAGGCAGTGCATGCATGCTGGCAGCAGCAGCGGTAGCAGGGGCAGCAGGGGCAGCATCGTTGTGGGTTGAGTGGAGGCGTTGCAGGGCAGCCTCTTTGGAACCGGCCGCCTTCTTCTTGTCTGATTCGGCACTAACCTCTGATTGTGCATTCAGAATCTGCTCGGCATCTGCTTGAGCTTCCTGCTCCTCATCTAAAGCTACACCATCCAAATCCTCAGCAGGCTCCGCTGCCTGCCGCTTCTCCGCCTGCTGCTTCTGCAGTTGCGCTTGCAACTGCCCGACCATGGCTAGGAGGTGCCCATAATCCTTGTTAGAGCTGACCTGCGAAGCCGATGCCCCCAACCTTGGTTCTAGAAGCCCCAAGACTGGTCGATAGGTGTTCAGGTGGTTTCAGTGGGACACACATTTATAGATGTAAGCAGGTAAATATGCATCTCACATAGGTTCTTGTAGGAAGACAGGGTAGAGGGTTTTGTGGAGAGTTCAGAGTCATTTCGGAGCCTTGCCCTTGAGGGAACAATCCTATGTTCATGCATGCATTAATACTTACATTACAGGGGATGTCGGAGTATCCCTACCCCCCCTCCCCAAAACCTCTGTATACTTCGTACTTAATGCCTAAACCCCAAAGCTGCACTAAACCCCTGAAACTCAAGACTCAAAACCCCACCAAGCCAGACCTTAACACGCATAATTTCTGGTCCCTAAGCATGAGACAAGCCCTAAAGCTTCTAAACAAAAAAACCTAAAACCATAAGGCTTGGGGTTAAGAGCATTGGGCTGCCTTCCTGCACAAAACACCCAGAAAGCATTGATAAAGCATACCCACCGTTGACCTTCCTGCTTGCAAAACATACACCCTGAGCCAACAAAAGCACAACAACAGCAGCAACGACACCAACCACAACAAGAATCACAACCACAACAACAGCGACAACAGCAACGACGACGACAACAGCAACAAC